CAAGGCCCCTGGGAAGTGACTTCTCACTTTCTCTTCTCTGTCTCTGTCTCTCCAGCGAGCACACACATCCTTATAGCAAAAATTTCTCCTTAAAAGAGAGGAAAAAAAAGACAAAAGATAGCAAATATTGGTGAAGATGTAGAGAGAAGGAAACCATTGTACCCTGTTGGTGGAAATGTAAATTAGTATAGTAACTGTGAAAAACAACGGAAACGTCTCAAAATACTAAAAATAGAATTACCGTATGATCTAGCAATCCCACTTTATCTATTTTTTTCTTTCTTTTTATTTATTTATTTATTTATTTATTTATTTTTGGAGAGGTTTTTGCTATATGGCGCATGTGCTCGCCAGACAGAGAAAGCGAGAAATCACCCCCCAGGGGGATGGCCACACCGCAATCCCTTCTCCTCCATTCTCCTCTCGGGATCTTGGGCACGCACGCACACAGGCCCGGCATGAGTTTTAAACCACCAGGTCCGGGATGCGAACCGCAGTTGACTACATGGGAGTCCAGCGACATAGCCATTACGCTAACTGCTGGTCCCCCAATCCCACTTTATCTAAAGATTTGAATCAGTTTGTCAAAGAAATGCCTGCACTCCTATATCCCTTGCAGCATTATTCACAATTGCTGAGTTATGGGTAATGATTCAACTTCAGCGTCAATCCACAAATAAATGGATAAAAGAAATGTGGAATAGGTACATAATGAAATACTAATCAGCCTTACAAAAGAAGGCCATTCTGTCATTTGCAGCAACATGGATATAACTGGAGAACATTGTGTTAAATGAAATAAGTCAGGCGTGGAAAGACAAATACTACATATCCTCACTTATCTGTGGAATCTAAAATAATGGAACTGATAGAAGACAGGAGAAGGGTAGTTACAGAGGTTGAAGAACGGGGTGGGGGGAGCAGAATGGGGAGACGATGGTCAAAAAGTGACATCTCAGATGAGAGGAATGCATTTTTTATTTGTGTTCTTCTTTTCTTTTTCTTTTTTTTTTTTGAGATCTATTGCACAGCATAGTGCATATAGTTCACATGCAGTGTGTAGTACGTTTCAAGATTGCTAAGAGAGGACATTTAAAATGTACTTTGAATTATCATTTCAAAAATGGTAATTACTTGAGGTGAAGGAGATCTAAATTAGCTTGATTTAATTATTCCACATTGTATTCGTAAATCACGCCATCACTTTGTACCCCATAAATAGGAGTATGTATAATCTGAAGTTGTCAATTTCAATACAATTTAAAATTAGAATTTTATGCCTTTAGAGCTACCTATGCGCCCTTCCTGGTCCCATTTACCTGGTGCCCCAGATAACCATTATCCTGAGGTCTTATTTTGTTTATCTTCCCATTGCTTTTCTCTTTGATTTAACCACAGATGAGTGGGTAGTTTGTTTTTTAATCTTACCAAAAATGGTGTCTTATTATATGAAATGTTCTGTAACGTGGTGTTTGAACTTGACATTATGTTCCTATGTCTGTTGGAATTAGATGCTGAGATGGAGTTGGGAGTGCAAGAGGTTTATTGCTAGGTAATGCCTAGGAGAGAAACAAGAGGGAGGATGCAGTGCTAGCCTATGGCCTAGTGATTAAGGGAGCTAGATCCCACATGGCTAGCCACACGGTTCAAATCCCACTCTGATAGCTTGAAAAACACTTCCGGTGATGTGCATGCATGCCCTAAATCCCAACAGAGTCAAGAAACGGAGGAAAAGGAATTACAGTTGCCCACAGGTGCTTTCTCACTTTCCCCCTCTCAGTCTCTCTCTTTATGATGAGCACACATACCTTCTAGTAATAAAAAAAAGGGGGGGATGCAAATTCTGGCAGGGAAAGTCTAAAACTGTGATGCCTTTCTTCCTTCCTTCCTTCCTTCCTTCCTTCCTTCCTTCCTTTCTTTCTTTCTTTCTTCCTTTCTTCCTTTCTTCCTTTCTTTCTTTTTTTCTAGGTTTTTGCCATAGGGCATGTATACTTGTATGTGTGAGAGAAAGAGAGAACGAGAAATCATCCCCCAAAGTGATGGTGATGCCGCAATCCCTTCTCCTCCATTCGTCTCTTGGGACTCTGGGCAGGCACGTACGCCTGGTATGATCTTCAAGCCACTGGGCCCAGGACTCAAACCAGAGTCGACCATGTGGGAGGCCAGCACCTTAATCATGCCACCTGCCAGTCCTGTGATGCTTTTCTGATAAAATTTAGGCCAAAACAATAGGGAACTCCAGAGCAAAGATCGTTTTTCAGAGAAGCCTCCCATTGGGTAGACTGAGTAAGCTTGGTACTCAGACTCAGTAACTACATCTTCTCTGGTCTTGGCTCCAAAGCTAAGATCTTGAAGACATCGTGGCTGGAAGCAAACTGCACTGCTTGCAGCTGAATAACAAGTTCTTTTTAAAGGGGGATTCAAGAGATATTCCTTCACCATGGCCACAGCTCTAAGATCTATGTATGCTGAAATGTGTAACAGTTCATTCATTTTCCTACTGCCAAGTATTCCATACTCCAACTCCATTCACCCATCTGCGAAGTATTCCACACTCCAGTTCCATCATCCATCTGTGAAGTATTCCACCTTCTAGTTCCATTCATTCATCTGCTGGTGGTTATTGGAGTTGCTGTTAATTTTTGCTGTCACGAACAATGTTGTGAAGAATATTCTTTTTTTTTCTTTTTTCTTTTTTTTGGAGAGGTTTTCACTATAGGGCGCGTGCGCTTGCCAGACAGAGAGAGACAGAGAGACAGAAAGTGAGAAATCACCCCCCAGAGAGGATGGCCACGCTGCAATCCCTTCTCTTCCATTCTCCTCCCGGGATCTTGGGCACACATGCACACGCGCCCGGCATGCGTTTAAGCCACCAGGTCTGGGACTCGGACCGCGGTCAACTACATGGGAGTCCAGCGACATAGCCATTACACTAACTGCTGGTCTCCGTGAAGAATATTCTTATATGTGTCTCCAATGTATGTGTGCAATAGTTTATCCTGACATATCTTAGGTGTAGAATTTCTGGTTCATAGAACCTACACATATTCAACTTGACCAGGTAATGTCAAAATGTTTTCTCTTCAGACTTATTTTAACTTTTAAAAATTAACACTTTTTTTTTTATTGCCAGAGGGCCTGTGTGTTTGCCAGAAAGAGAGAGAGAGAGAGAGCAAACGAGCACCCCCAGTGGGGCAGGAGCACACCACAAGCTTTTTTCTTCCAGTCTTCCTTCTCTTCAGGAGGGCATGCACACACATGCATGTGTGTTTCTCAAGCCTCTGGGAACAGGATTTGAACTGCAGTCAGCCACATGGGATCCAGCCCCCTTCAGATAGCACTTAATCTCTGCACTGCAAGACTACAAAGTGCTTTCTATTAATTCTTTACCACGTCCTTTAGCACTTTCTCTCTCTCTTTTTTAAAAAATAATGAATGAATGAATTAATTTTAAGTTGACCAAATAGAGAGAGAGGGAAACTGAGAGAGCAAGCCACCAAGTGGGGAACTCAGACCACAGTTAGGCATGTGGGAGTCCGGCACCTGAACCACCACGCCACCTCCCAGCCCCCCACATCCTTTCTCTTTATACTATATTATTCTTTTCACTTAAGCTACTGTGAGTGAGTTTCTGTGGCTGGCAAGCAAATGAATTCTAACCTACAGGAGCACTTCAAAAAGTTCATGGAAAATGGCGTTATAGTACAAATTAATTTTGCTGCAAAAGATTTTGAAATCTGTATCTATTTTTTTTTTCTGTGAAATTTTGGCTCATATCCCAGGGTGCATGCACTCACTGGAGACACAGAGAGAGGAGAGAAATCACCCCTCAGGGTGATGGCCACACCACAATCCCTTCTCCATTCTCCTCTTGGGATTTTGGGCACACATGCCATACTCATGCCTGGCATGAATTTCAAGTCGCTGGGTCAGGGATTCAAACCACGGTAGACCATGTGGGAGTCTGGTGCCTTAACCACTATACCACCTGCCGCCTCCTTTCTATATTACTTCATAATAATATTTCCCTTTGGTTTCCACCATAGAAAGCCTGCACTCAGTGGACAGAGACAGAGAAATGAAAACTGAGAAGTCACCCCCAGGGAGGAAGGCCACTTTGTAGTACGTCCTCTTCTATTCTCCTCCCAGGACTTCGTGCCATTTCGAAAAACTAGATCAGATTATGTGGAGTCAGCCAGGTGGCATAGGGTTAAGGCATCTGGATCCCACAGTCGACTGTGTGGCTCAAGTCTGGGACCTGGCACATGCCCCAAATCTTAAGAGCTTAGGAAGGGATTGTGGTGTGGCCATCCCGGGAGGGGGATGTGTGCTTTCTCATTTTTTCTCTCTCTCTGACAAGTGCACAAGCCCTATAGAAAACTTGTAAAAATTAGATTATATGTGTGTTCATTACTTAAAACCAGGCCTGCTGTACATGAAATTGTACAAAGCAAGGTCTTACACAATAGATGTAAGATACCCAGGGAGAGACAAAGAGAGAAAGAGAGAGAGAGAGGAGATGCAGGGACAGAGACTGATTTAGCCGCTTGAGGGTTAGGGACGAGTCATTCCTGGCGCAGGACCAGAGCAGGGTAAAGTCCTCACACCCCAGGGATCCCATGCGGCCTGGGGCCAGCGCTGACATTTGGAAAGTTTACCCAAGTCAGAGAGCCTGGTTGCCAATCGTTTCTCAGATGGGCACATAAAAGCCACCATGGATGGTCCAGGCACTACAGCTCAAGGGGACGCCACCCTGGACACAACTCAGAGGACACAGAGAGGCAGGCCCTGCTGCAGCACTCAGGGACACCAAGGTGAGGACCTAGGGGACAGGAGCTGAGGGAGGAAGGAGCACCAATCCTGGGTCTCTCTCTATCCATGGGTGCGACTGTCGCCAAGCTCTGGGCATCTTCTCTTTGCGACTTTAAGAGGCCTGGGCAGGAGCCATGAGACCCTCCATGTGGCATGCCTGACGTCCCAGGGTTCCTGCAGGGACAGAGATGGGACCCAGTGGCCGAGTCGCGCTGGCCGCGGGGCTGTGGCTCCTGTACACGCTGGGCGAGGCGGAGGACCCCGGCGTGCCCGCGCCCCGGCGCTGCCTGCTCTCCCACTACCGCTCGCTGGACCCCAGGGCGCTGGCGGCCGCCAAGGCGCTGAAGGACCGCTACGTGAGTCACCGCCCAGACCGCTTGCGGGCCCCGAG